TATTTCTGTATTTATTTTTAAATATGGCAGAGTTGGTCCTTCATACAATATATCCATTTACATTAGAATACATTTCACTTATCCCCCACCTCCCTACATTCCCAGGAATACAATGAAAAATGTTAACAACAAGCAAACATGATTCTCTCCCTCGTAACGACAAAACAGGAGGGGAGAACAGTTACCGAACCAACAAGCAAATTACAAAAAAGAAAATAAAATACAATAAAATAAAAAATAAAAAAATGATAATAAACAAACAGGATTTAGAGGAGGGATCTGAAATGATTAGAAAACAAAATCAAAAATATAACTATAACAGTTATTACATGTTGTACCACCAAATCCCTAACCCAACCCTTGGCCTCTCTTAAAATTCTGGCTGGTGTTCCAACAGATCAAAAACTGGAATTAGAGAGGGGTTATGTCAGTGTATCTTAATTATAGCCATACTTTTTAATCATCTAAGAAGGGAGTTGAGTCAACTAAGGAAATAATGGGATTCCAAGTTTTATCAAATTTGTTGACACATTTCCTAATGCTTTACTTGATTTTTTTCTATGTGTAGGAGTGACATTAGATCCTTCAGCCAAGAGTCAGGGGAGGGAGGATTCTTATTCTTCCATTGAAGTAATATGTGTCTTCGGGCTACCAAAGATGCGAAAGCAATAGCGTTACTTTCCCTGTTTGTGAAGTGTGTGAAATCCTCAAGCACACCAAAGATTGAGGTCAGAGGACTCTGAAGCACTGGTTTGTTTAGAGCTTTTGTGAAAGTATTGTAGAAAGAGGACCAGAATGAGCTTAATCTGGGACAGGAAAAGAACATGTGTGTATGATTAGCTGGTGTCAGAGAGCATCTGTCACATGTGTCACTTGTATCAAAGAGCTTTTTTTTTAGTTTAGCTTTGGAGTAATGTTTCCTGTGTAGGACCTTAAACTGAATTAAAGTCAGACTGGCACAAGATGAGGTGTCGACCCTGTCAAGGGCCCTCTTCCACCCCTCATGAATTTTAGTGACCAGCGAGGATGGTATTGATGATAAGATTAATTTTGTCACGACTGAAATGAATCCATGAGCATGCGGGAGAGATAGAATGACATCTCTGAGGGTACGAGAAGGTTTACAGGAAAATTTGGGAAAGTTACAAGGAAAAAAATCTCTGACCTGAAAATACCGAAATAAATGGGATTGTTGGAGGGCAAACTTAGTTTGGAGTTATCGAAGGAAGTAAAAATTTTCTTGCCATAAAGTTGATCAAAGTTTACCAGCCCCTTCTCTTTCCACAGAGAAAAAGTCAGATCAAAGGAAGCGGGTGGAAATAAGTAATTTTCACAAAGGAGCATTAGTGGGGAAAGACAGGTGATTTTAAAGTGCCGTTTAAATTGTCTCAGGATTTTTATAGTAGATAATACAATCGGGTTGGAGGTGACTTTAGTGGGATGAGCATTTAGAGGGGAAAATAGTAAAACTGATAACGAGGCAGGGGTACATGAGTAAGCTTCCATCTGACACCAGTCTGTGTTGGGGGTGTTGTACCAGGTATAGACCTTTTGAATATTAGCTGCCCAATAATATGCCCTGAAATCCGGCAATGCAAGGCCTCCCTTGCCCTTGGAGTCTTTCCTGCCCAAATAAAATGTGAACTAATCTTATCCAATTCATTGAAAAAAAATTTGGGCAGGTATATAGGTAAACACTGAAAAAGAAATAAAGTTTTTGGTAGAACATTCATTTGATAGAGTTTATCCTACCTAGAAGTGACAGTGGAAGATTATTCCAGCGTGAAAGGTCTGACTTCACCTTTTTGACCAGCTCTCTACAGCGTTATGTTTATGTAGTAAAGGGAGACTATTCAAAATATTAATTCCTAAATACTGAAACCTAGAAGAGGCTAAGCAGAATGGTAGTGATTGAGCCGGGATCTGTTTTGCTGTATCATTAAGAGGAAAACATTCGCTTTTTTTAATGTTCAACTTACAGCCAGAAAAAGAACAAAAAATTTGTAAAATGTCCAGAATTTTTCCATGCAGAAAGTGGGATTTGAGACATAGAGTAAAAGGTCATCAGCATAAAGTGATACTCTGTGCTTGTTCCTGTTCCTATATACACCATTAAAAAGCGGTGAGCTTTTAAGAGCAATGGAAAGCAGTTCTATTGCGACGGCGAACAGCAATGGTGATAGTGCGCATCCTTGGCGGCAGCCGCGTGTTAAAGGATAGAAGTTAGATTGTTTCAAGTTTGTTTTTACACTGGCAACTGGGGCACTGTATAATAATTTAACCCACAAAACAAAGCTCTGGCCAAAGCCAAGCCTATTTAAGACTAAGAATAAAAAATTCCATTCCACTCTATCAAAAGCTTTTTCTGCATCCATAAAGATTACCATCTCAGGGTCTTGTGATTCAGGCTTGGACAGTATTATGTTGAGCAGACTGCGTACATTTGAGGATAGTTGTCTGCCTTTTATAAACCCAGTTTGGTCCTTTGAGATTATTTTTGGTAGGCAGGGGTCGAGGCGGCCGGCGAGGGTTTTAGCCAATATCTTAACATCACTATTGAGCAAACTGACAGGTCGCCAGCTGCTGCAGTTCTCAAGGTCTTAATTTTTCTTTGGGATGAGCGATATTGATGCTTGAGTTAAAATCCACGGAAGGGTGCCACGTTCAAGGGAGTCATTAAACATGTCCAATAATAAAGGAGCGAGCTGGTCAGAAAGTTTCTTGTAAAAGTCGGACGGAAAGCCAACAAATACAGGTTAGCCGATGCTTTTTAACCATGCTTCAACAGAATGACTTCATAAAATAAACTACCTGGCATAGGCCAGAATGATACATGTATTTGAATTGTTCAAAGTATTCATCTGGAAAGGCTCCTGTTAAAAGAGTTCCCCACAGGGAGGAAAACTCAGTTCATTTCTAAGAGCTGTCTGGCACCAGGAGGCACCAAGAGGCACCTGGCTTTGTTGGACATTTAGCCAATGTAATAGCAGCTATGACATGTATGGAAGTCGGTATCATTGGATTCAGACCAGTTTTTTTAACCTGGGCAATTTTGTATTTGAATTTTAAAAATTGAACTGCAGTAAATTATGTAAACAATACAAAGGCAAAAATATGGCTGCAAAAACACTTGCAAAATTTCACCAGTAGAAATTCGATAGCAAAAATTTTGTTCAATCTGAAAAACTCACACAAAGAGAAAATACAATTAGGAGAAATTTATTGATACAATTACTTTGTCTTTGGCGCTCAGACCTCGGCAGGAAACATAGCACTTAATTTTGATAGATATGCATGAACAGGAGCAAAGAATAGGGCTGTGCTGTAGTGGAGATAGATGAAGTTGGTCAGTCTGTAAGACTGCTTGTTAGCGCG